TAAAACAACAGAGGAATTAAATTATCTTTTCAGTTAGATTTTATTTTTAACCCAACATCACTTAGCAGATGCAATCAAAATGTTCAAATTATTTCTAAAACTCAGAGCAGTACAGCGTTTCACAACAATATGCAGGGGTGTCAAACTCCAGTCCTCAAGGGCCTCTGTCCTGCAACTTTTAGATGTGCCTCTGCTGCACCTCACCTGAAAATAATAATTAGGTCATTAGCAAGGCTCAGGAGAACCGATCTACACAGGGAGGAGGTAATTAAGCCATTTCATTCCACTGTTTTTTACCTGTGGCACATCTAAACACTGCAGGACAGCGGCCCTTGAGGACTGGAGTTTGACACCCCTGAATAAAGGGATAACTAAAAAAAAACAAAAAAACAATTTAAACTACAATACATCTGTAGAAAACACAAGAAATACTCCACATGCCTGCGGTAGGATCCACACTGAGAGGTTGGGCTGGTTGTGCCACTGCTGTAAATTTATATTTCATCATGAAGCTTCACAACAACTTGTTTACCAAGCCAGTTTCCCAGTTGTTATTTATGACAAGACTATTCAGTCTGCAGCAGACATTTATAATTATGTAGCCAAAATTACTACATGTGAAACTCTTCTCTCTTTCTCTATCAATTATTCTCCCACTAAAGGTCCATCCTGCCTAAAAAAATAAAAATAAAAAAAATACAGTCCCATTGCAAAAACATTCAAAGTCCTTCATAACCTTTTTCAAAATGTCACATAGCAAGACAAAACTGCTGTATTTTAGTAGGATTCTGCATAGACTCACATAATGTAACAGATAGTTGTGAACTGTAGGGAAAAAATGTTATTTACCAACTAATATTGATGGTGGTGGCAGCATTATGCTTTGTTAGCAAAGACAGGAAACCCTTAGAGTTGATGGAAATATCAATGAAGCCAAATATTGGGAGGAAAACCTTTTAGAAGTTGCAAAAAATCTGGGATGGAGGTTCACTATGTAGCAGGGCAGGATAAATGTCAGGATTTGAAAATGTATCTTCTCAAATGGTCTCCATCCAATCTGATTGAACTGTTCTGTAAAGAACAACCGGAAGCGATTTCAATCTCTACACAAGCAAATCTGAGGATTGATACACATCTCAAACCTCTTACAGCCTTAATTTTTGTTTTATTTGTCAAAATGTTTAAGGCCATGTATTATTTTGCTTCCGGTTCAGAAAATATGCATGGCTTTGAGTTGTGTTAAACTTTTTTAACAAGAATGTTAAAAAAGCAGCAGCTGGGATGAAATGGCTAATTTAGGATATTTTTTTTAAGTCAAACACTCAAACATGCATATAATATGCTGATCAGTTTGAATTGGTTTTACTTGTTTTATTGCTGAAAGCTGTTTTTCCTGACTGTGCTATTTTTCCACATTAATAAACTGGAATTAAAACCGTAACAGGTTTAAGCTTGGACTGAATTAGATTTTAATATAACTGTATTGAACTGTTTTATTTTCTGTTTCCTACTTTTGCATAAAATATATTTCCTGCTTTTAACAGACGATGTACCAGAGAGTAGTTTATCTTAAAACTAACTGAAGAGGTTGCACATTTATTAGAATCCTGTTTGTGAAATAACTTTGGATTTAACTGAGCTGCACATTTTGCATCCCTTGCAAAAAACAGTCATGTTTGAAACTACTTGCGAACTCAAGGTGAACTCTTCAGATGAAAGGGATGAAATTGATTTACATTTTGATGGGGAAATCAAGGCCTGAACTTCTGTCCGTGAAGACTTCACCTATTGAATATTATGTCAGAGATTTCCTGAAGCAGGAATGTGTTTGCCGTCTGCTGAAATAATGAGCTGTAAATGACTGACCCTTGCATGACCACCACCATTCCTGAGTGGAGTGCATAGATTTGGTTGCTGCGTCTGCTAATGGCAAACAGATTTACCAAGATGAGAGGGAGGAATTTTCACTCCATCTTTTGCGCAAATGTCGACTATTGCAAATGTCTTCGTCAGATTACCGGGGCAGCAGAGATAAGCACTTGTAAAGACCCCTGGGTCTTGTTTATTATTAGGGCGAGTGTGGGAAATGGTGTTCGGCGAGTGGCAAGGAAAACAGACGATCTGGAAAAACTAATGCGTTGCTCTCATGCAACATTTGTCTGGCTATTACGCCTCCCCCGCGAGATAGCACTCTGGGATGTATAAGTTGTTGGTGCTGTTTTCCCAGGTATCAATTTTCAATTTTCCTGTGTGAGGAAATGTGGAGAACGAAAATTGAGGCACAAAAGTCAAGCTTTTAAAAACAAAAATGGCTCTGAGAATGTAACTGCACTAATCTCTCATGATGGTTCAGTTACGCTACTGTTTTAATTAGCATTACCTTATTGCTCCGCACTTTAATGTCATTCTTCTATGTTTTTCTAACATTATATATTGCATAAAATGAAAAAAAGCTAAATTACAAAAGGAGTTATTTATTTAAGATGTATTATGTAGCATGTTTATTTAGTGTGTAAGAGCTCCGGGACATCCTGAAGTAAATTAATAAAAATATCAACATGAAATTCAGTATCCAACACATTAATTAGTATTAAAAGTCTATATACGTCATAGTTTTTCACTGCATACTGGAGAACTGGCTGTTTAGAGCATGGGATCACTCACAACTAAAAAAACAAACAAAACAAAACAGAATGAATATGTTATCACTACCACAGAGAGCAGCTTAGCATAATCCATAACCCTACTGACTATCAGGAGATGTAGATCTATAAAAGTTTGGAAAAATCTATGTGAAGTTTGGTGTATAAACTTGGATTGTTTTCCTTGTTTTTTGTGTGCTAATCAATGTTTTCCCATATGTTGTGTTTCGTCCCCACCCTTTAACCATTTCCTCATTGGCTCCATCCCTAACTGTTTGTTTAATGTACATTTGTTTGAGGTCCGCACTGATTTAGACAAGCCATCAAGCCGACTGCGGCTTAGAAAAAGAAAAACGCCCGTCGCCCCCGATGGATGACGTGAACCAGCATCCTGAGAGAGTCCAGTCTCTGGCCAGCGGTTGAACTCAAACCCATCACATCAGCTCACTAAAACAACAACCTCAGTGTCACAAAAATGAATTTTAGGAAGCGTTGGGAGCACAAAGGCCCCATAACGTCTACCCGATCCATTGGTTATAAGATTTTCAAGACAATATAGGGAAGTAAGAGCTTACTGTAGCACCAGCTACAATACTGAGAGTAAAAAAACCTCAGGCTTGCAAATGTTACAGTCTCCCTTCCTTGAAATCTTTATCAGTGATTGCCATCTTCCATTCCATCGGCATGTGACAGACGGGATCTGCATTGTTGCAAGCTGTGTTGGAAGCTCAAGAGGCGAGCTGAGTGGCGTGTTACCAAGTTTTATTCTGCTGCTCCTACAAACCTTCATTGAAAGGAAGGAAACTGTGTGATCGCAGCACACAGAGGCCTTTTTGATTGCTTCTCCAGGAGGAACTCTCTTCATACAGGTGATCAGGTGTAAAACATGACAACCGAAACCTGGGGTGGGGGGTCCTGTTAGGAAAATTATGAAAGTTTTTCATCCTGTTTCAACCCTGTCTTGTGTCTTTTGCATCCTCTGGCTATTTTTTTCCTTGGATTGTTCTGTAATTAGCTCCATGCATCTTTGCATCAACTCTGACGCTGGTGAAGATAATTATCACCACAGCGTGACGCTTCTGCCACCATGCTTTACTGTGTGCATGGTAATAAAGTTTATTGCTTGTAAGTCAAAAGACTATTTAGCTTCTCTCATTTTGAATACTTAAATATTCAAATCTTGGGAAGTTGCTTTGTTATCTCACCCTACTTTTAAATTTGTCCTGTGTGCTGGTTTCTCTTTGTTTGTTTACTTTTCTCTAACAAACCACTGAAGCCTTCAGAGAACAGTTTGATTTATAACTGAGGAGGAAAAATTAGACACAGACAGACGTCATCTCATGACTGCAGGATTTTTAACAACAAATAAATTTTGTGCATTTTATTTATGGGTTTCTAAGTAAAAACAAATGCACAGAACCACTTTATTTTTGATTAATTACATAAAATCCCAATAAAATGCATTGAAGTTTGTTCATAAAAGATGTAGAAAAATTCTAAAAAAAAAAATCTATTATTGCTGTTATTGTTAATCTTATTTTCTATAAATAATTTTTTAACACTTTGATAACTTTTTGTTTTTGTGTTATGCTGCTGTTACACCTGAAATTCCCTTTTATCATAGAACAAAGGCTGTTTTTATTTTTTTTTTCTATTCTTATTCCTGTCATTTTAGAAAAAGCTTTTATCATCTTTTAGTAGCAACAAGCTCTAACTTTGACGGTCAGTTTCATGTAATATCACACCAGAAGTAATCTGAGCTGAACACGTTTATCATTTTATATTTTGCTGCATTGAGGCCTGAAATATTTGGCGTGTTCCATCGAGACGCAGCTCTTTTTCTTTTGGCTTCCTTTTTCCGGTCCAAAGGGACGGTGATGTAGCGAGATAGCAGCATAGACTAAATTAACTGTCTTCAGTCTGGGCATGCTGATGTAACTGATCTGTCTGTGTCTTCCTGCCTGTGGAAATGCCTTTTTAGAGCGACCACCAACTTATTATCCTTCTTTTTGTTTACTTCCATCTATTTTTTTTTGCTTCTATCTTTCTTAAAGTTATTTAATATAACTAGTCTGCTTAGTATCTAGATCCCCTTGCTTGCAGTAGAGCTCCATCTTTACATTTAACTTGGCTTAACCTCAAAAACCTCAAAAATAAGCCACTATTTGCTGCAGGAATTAAATAGGTAACAGTTATGAAAACCAAAATATTGAATAACGTGTCATTATTATTATTGTTTTTTTTTTTTGGCAATTTTAAACAAAAACAACAGAAAAAACAGTTTGGGACGCCTAGCTGACGCCAGTCTCGTAAACATTTTCTGGCTCTGGGACTAACTGTTGAGGCTTGCTGCTGCACAAGATAAGCCCCACAGGATGGCAAGACCAGCCTTATCGAGACCCACCAAAACCAGAGGACCTTTGCTATCGCCGGACCCGCTGGCAGACAAAAAAAACTCATCCCCCTTATCTCCACTCTGCTCCAACTCGGCCACTCGGTCCACTCCCAGCAGGTGCTGATCTCATTTTGGCAGAAACAGGAACTTTGCATAATGTTTGACTGTAATAGGTGAAGAGAGACTTTTTTTTTGGCAAGCATGGCGGGGCTGCAAAAGCTCAGGGCAAGTGTTTATTTTAAATGGGAGACGTCTGTTATCGCATGGAAAGCGGGTTAATTTCAATACAATGGCGGTGAGTTTTACCATGTGGTAATAGGAAATGTAATGTTGAAGTTTGGATGGATTATTTCATGAATGAGAATGAAAACAATTAAAATGCAGAGAGGAAACTTGAGATTTGCTTGTTGCTGAAAGAAGCAATGATTTAGTCAGTAAAATAATTCCCTCATTAATTAGATGTATTTGAATTAGAAGTTTTATTTTCCTCCATTTTTGAAGAGGATAGCTATTTATTTTACACATTTTGAAGTAACAAGTGGTCTCGATAACAGACCGTATCCAGCTTTGTTTTTCTTTCCTCCCCACCTCTGTTAAATAACCCTGTCATATCTGCTGTCCTTCCTCTCTGTGAGTTTGCACCTCACAAATTGTCAAAGCACCTGCCCCTGGAGGCTGTGTTTGTTCAAAGGGTTACTGTGCCAAAGCACATTTCCCCTTTGACCTTTGCTAATTACTGAGCAGCTCCAAAAGACAGGAGTTACGAACCAGACTCTTCTACTTCCGTCTGTAGCACAAAGAGGTCTCACCTTTTATGCTGGGTTAATAACCAGCAGATTTATGCAGAGAGTGTCTTTATTGAAACTGATGGGTGAGTTAGAGTACATGCGACTTTAAGATAATTTGATTGGTGCATCTGCAGGAGGCGGGAGTCCAGGAGGTGGCTGCAGGCCGACCGCTGCTGAGGCTTGGGACAGCTGCTTTGTTGGTCATTACAGTTTGGCTGCAAAATAAAAAAATTAAACTATAAATTCTGCATTTTCCAAAATATTTCTTGCTATCATGGTTAAAAAACAACAACAAACATCTATAGCACAAATAGTTTGCTCCATATATACCTCCATAAATATCCTCAGCATATATTTTTGCACTTACTGCAGAGTTTGTTGTCACAGGCGCTGGGACAGTCACCGCAGGATGTTCCTGACTTGTAGGGATTAGTCAAATTGTAGTTTCCTCTGCAAAACAGGCAATTGATAAATATGATCATTTTAGCTTTTGCTCCGCGGTGAAACAGCATGCAATTTTGAAAAGGAGTCATCTGCATTGTAAAGTGCTTACGGTGGGCAGTAGTGGCAGACGTAGAAGTATTTGTATGTGGAGTTGGGGCAGTAGGCCATAGCGCAGCCAATATTTTTGGAGGTGGCCCAAACAACCTGTGCACAAAAAAAAGGAGACGCTGTTCAGCACTGTGTTTTCAAAGTAAAGTGGCCCATTTGTGTGCAAACTAATCAGAATAGGAAACTATGAAGACAACCGCACCTGCGTATAGTGTCCCACCACTCCTCCGTTGATGGATCCGACTCCGTAGCGGAAGTTGGCCACCTCGTTGTACCAGGCCTGGATGGCGTTGGACCAGGAGTTCTTGAAGCTGGCCATGTAGAGATTCTCCCCACAGCCGCTGGCTGCCGCCAAACACAACATCAACATCATTTTTGCTCAATCCATGAACCACACTTTCTAATTTCCTGCTTCTACGTTAAATTATTATTGTCCAGAAAGTTTGTTTTGAAGAGATGTGGCTGTTATATCACAAGATCAAATGAGTAAATATTTATGAGAGGGATAAAAAAAAAAAAGATGTCAAGATTTCTAAAACTGTAGTTATCCACTACGACTTACCATCATCCGTTATTTTTTTAACGTTGATAAATATTCTGATAAAAGAGTGCATGCTTAGACAAATTTACTATGTTTATTTTGGAATAAAGGTCTTTATCGAACTAATCAAAGTTCTGATCAAACTGGAGTACAAGCATTTGCTTCATAGTTAATTTCTGTAATTACTGAAAATGCAAACTTAAGTTCTGTCTGAGTTACTATCATATATATTAGGATATATTTTTCTTAAGTTCAAAAGATTAAAGTTAAAGTTAAAGTTACATGAGTTCAATCAGGATTGTTCTGCTACTGCTGTCCTACTCTAATCTTTTAGCTAGTTTGCTTATTTATGGTGACTCTCCAACAAGGCAGATCTCTTTTTGAACACGGAAGCAAATCCTAATGTTATACAGAGAATATTAATATTAAGTCTAGGTGCTTCTGTGAAAAATGAAAGAAAAAAAGCACTATTATTGCCATTGATCAATGCTGGAACCTTATATTTCCTGTATTTCTCTATATTTATGTATCTATGTCATGTTTTAAAATGTTCTCAAAAGAAATATGGACTCATAAGACACGTAAACATATGCCTTGAATGTCTTAAATTAAATATTCTTTACATATTTTACACATGTGCAAGTCTTGCATGTAAACAGAGATGTCTGGTGCCACGATGAGCTTACTGCTGATGACTCTGGAGCTTGCAGGGCTGTGTTTCATGGAGCAGGTTGCTGCCCATTTCTCAGCATTGGTTGCAGCCTCTTTGTTCCAGCTCTGCAGAAAAGGCAGAAATAAAACCTAAAGAGGTACACAAAACTTCTCCAACAACATTTAGATGACCAGGTCTTCCTAGTTTTTTATTTTTTTATGTATTGCAGTGAAAACATTTTATATTTAAAACTGAGAGCAATGTCATTCATTCATTACAAATTCTTCAAAGGGAGAATTTGTTGTCTTCCTGTGTGGGGAAATGATTAAACCAGAAAGCCTCAAAGACTTAGATGGCAATATCAGCAGCAATAAGCTCCTAATCATTTTCTTTTCTGTTTCATTTGTTTTACCATTTTCATCATGTTGCTGGCAGTAGGTTGGACACCTCTCCTCAGAGTATTATGCTTGTTCACGATCTCAGTCTGCTCTGTTGAAGTCGTGCGTGTGATGCCTAAAAAAAAAAAAAAAAATATATATATATATATATATATATATGTGTGTGTGTGTAAAAGCAAAAAAGAGCTTTTACATATAGTAGAATTTCAAATAATACAACTTTATAAATTGCAGTAAGTACTCACCCTCTGTCAGGTGTAATTTTTAGAGACAAGGGAGGAAAAAGTTATTATTCCTTGCAAGATTAATGCTTTAAAATGCTAATATAAAATGTATATTCTATTTACTCACCTCTGCCAAGGTGCCAGGCACCTGAAGGGCAGCAGTAAAACCAAGGATACACAGGAGGTAAAAAGAGTGCATGGTTGTGGCTAATTTAGGAATTGTCCAAGTTGAAAACCTGCAGATGTGACTTTTATATGTGCAACACCAGGGTGGCATGTGATGACTGAATACATAAATTCAAGTTCATTCCAGTTTTTAAGAAAACAACCAAACATCAGATAACACAACACCTGTGAAATACCCGGGGTGATAAAGAGTCTGGTTTTCTGCTTTGGTATTGCAGAGGTCCCACTGAACAAAAAATACAATATGATATCCAAACTTGACACCGATAATGCCATAGTTTATTAATATCCACAAACATGCCGGAGCCAATCAGCAGTCAATTTGTAAGAGGCGGGGAACGCCCTGAATGGTCAGCCAAGGTCGCCACATTATGTAAAATGTTTAGGTTTGTTCCCAGATAAGTTTTTCTGTGTTTTTCCTAATCCTAATTAATCATTTTCCAGAAATTGTAAATGTTTAGGGCTGAAATGATTAATTGGATTCATCATGATGTATCACGATGAATCGGTTATTGAAATAATTGTCAACAAATTTATTAAGCAATTAATCATTAACTGGAGCATACAGACTTGGGAAGAAAAGGTATTTTGCTGAAAAACAAAATAACACATTCACAGCAGTAATTGGCCACAACTGCACAATACATATTGACAAGATAACACCTTGTCAATATATTTACCCAAAACCTCCTCAGGTGACATTGTTTTAGCTTCACCTGATCCAAATTCACTAAAGGAATGCTATGCTGTTGCCTTTTAGGCAATAAAATTATTATTATTGTATTTAAAAAATGAATCGAATTATTTATTTGCATCATTATTGCATTGCTGATACTGTATTAAAAGGGTTTAGTAATTTAAAAAACAATCTGTAGAAAGTGCCATTTAAAAACAAATCTGATTAATCGATTAGTACTTAAAGTTAAACCTGGCAAAAAAAAAAATAAATCGGGCAAATTACACAATTTTGTTCACTCAAAATTAAGTGATATTGAATTTTGCTCCATGCATTCAATAAAGCGGTGCTCTGTAATTCACTGATGCAGAGTTCAATGCTACAAAGCATGTGTGCTTTGTGTTGATCTGCTCCCCTCCTGTGATAAACACTTGTAGGTGCAACCTGCAGTGCGCATGCGCAGACATTCACAGACCCCCATCGCAGGTTTGGAGGGTGAGCATCATCATCCTCCATCCAAACACACGCACACGCACGCAGAGGGAGGGATACCTTCGGTTTGTTTCATTTATTTCTGCCCTCTTTCCCCTCCCGCCC